GTGAGGTGGATTTTCTTTTGGGCATTTTGGACAGGACGTCTTCACTGATTCACTCCATCTCCAGACACTCCTCCATATTGAAAACAAGCCTACCCTGAGCCCTCATTTGACAAAAAATTTCCAAAGAAGCTTAACATTGTTGCTTCTGATACATGCAGCACCTTGGAAGCTATTTGATTCTTCTACAGACTCTCAGAGACTCTCACAGTGAAGAAACCATTTGACAGCTCAGCTCCAACCTGCAGAAAACACGTTTAGCTGCAGCCAGCAGGACTCTCAGGTCCTTCATTCAAAGTCTGATGGAATTGACAGGAAGATTTCTGTCAACTTGGATGGTTCTAGGTGAGAATTCAGTGCCACCTAACATTGCCTGCCTGACACCTAGATACAGGAGAACCATAGCATTGCCTATATATTATATTCTGTTTCTCCAAGCTGTTTGGTATATAACATAAAAGACAAACAAACCAGAGGACAAAACTACACACACAACTTACAAGCTCATCACTGCCCTGGTTTACTTCTTTACCTGTAACAGAAGTATTACAAAAATTGGTGAATATTTAGACTGGACATTCTTTAACCATCTTAAAAGGACATTCTTGCACTACATCCCACTTTCTGAGAACAGAAACTACTTAGAAATTATACTGGACTTTGCATAGGAGATGTTGTGCGTAACCGTAGCATTGTAGAGCTATGTGCAGAGGGCAGTTAAATACTGGCGCAAGGTGTACAGGGAAGGGAGTGAATTCTCCACATTTAGAAGTTTTTAAATCCAAACACAGTCTATGTGGTAGGGGATGCTACACACAAGCAAATGGGTGAGACTAAGAAATGACTTGTTCATTTTGTAAAGGCGACAAGAATATCTACTAAGCAGTAGTAAGAAAACACAGCAACTTTTTCCAGGGACCAATAACCAGAACAGGAAATAGTAAGAATAAACACTCAGTTTTCACAACAGAGGAGGTTAAATGTGGAGTCCCACAGAGGGCTCGGTGGGGCCTGAGGCTGTTCAGGGAATTCATAGAAAACTGGAAAACAAGACACTGGGAAGGTGACAACATTTGCTAATTTTACAGAATACATTATTCCCATTATTACTATCATTAGTTAGAAAAACACATTCTTTCATTTGGAAAACAGAAACAAAGAGTGTGAAGTTCAATGTCAACAGACATAGTCAACCCCAAAGAAGAAAAACATGTTCCATGGACATGTGCTGGCCCCAGCCCAGCCACTGACATTGAAGAATGAAGGCTGGGAGCCTCTGGGCACTGTTTCATAAAAATACTAGTTGAAGAGTGCGCGGTGACAGAAAAAGCAAAGAGATTCAGGAAGTTTTAGAAAAACAATATGCACTGTTCTGCTCTGTTTCAACTCCATACTACAGCCATACTGCACACAGTATTGCTCCCTCTAATTCAAAGGCACAGTAGAGGAAGAGAAAGGGAAAAACAAGATAAAGATCATAGATGCTTCCAGAAATTATCCAAACACACCCATGCAGACTTACCACAAAGTACGTTTTGCTGAAATGAGTTCAGTTCTAGATACATAGTGCAAATGTAGGGATAAGGCACAAGATGGACATTCTTATGTTTGAATCTCATCTCCGATACTCTCTCCCATTTACTCAAATCTGAAAATGATGGTAAGACTTAAGAACATAGCACTAACATTTCAAAGGAGCGGGAGTCCTGACAATGTCCTCTTGTAAAGCTTCTAAAGGCAGACCACACTGAACACATGTATAAGTGAGCAGATACAACTTGTCCAAATGAACTTTGTAACAACAAAACCTGCATGTGAGAATAATCAAAAATTAGCTTTTACATGCTGATGCTGTGCTATGGCACAAAGCTTTTACACCTCTGTCTTTTGACAGCAGCTATCACTGCTGCGAAGTTGAGGGAAGAAGGAAAAAAGCTGGTGGCTGGTCCCAAAGGAGTAAGGGGTAAGAATAAAATATGGTGAATACTGGGTTGTCCTGGGTTCAGCTACAGCAGTCGTTTCTCTCCTTCTTAGTAGCTGGTGCAGTGCTGTGGTTTTGACTTTCAGCCTCGGAACAGCACTGATAACACCGATGTTTTTACTTGTTGCTGTATGTAATGTTTACTCCGACCAAGGACTTTTTTGGTCTCATGCTCTGCCAGGGAGGAGGGGAAGCCGGGAGGAAGCAGAGACAGGACATCTGACCCAAACTGGCCAAAGGGGTATTCCATACCACAGCATGTCATGCACAGGATAGAAACTGGGGGGAGTCACCCAGAAGGGCCAGATCACTGCTCGGGTCAGGCTGGGTATCGGTCGGCAGGTAGTGAGCAATTGTATCCTCTCCCCTTGCTATTTCCATTGTCATTATTACTGGTAGCAGTAGTGGTTTGGATTATACCTTAGTTTCTTGAGTGCTGTTATCTCAAGCCGTGGGAGTTACATTCCTCCGATTCTCCTCCCCATCCCTCCGGGAGCGGGGGAGAGGAAGAAGGAGGGGGGAAGTGAGCGAGTGGCTGCGTGGTTCCGAGTTACTGGCTGGGCTTAAACCATGACGTGGGTGGAGGACATTTGCTTCACTTTTACTTCTAGACTTCAAAGACTACATTGAAGAGGTGACCTGGATAACTGAGTGACAATCCTGCAGGCTTTGTGCATTCAGAAGCCTACTTATAGTCTTCCAGCTCTCAGCTCGCCTACTTCTAGTACAACTCACTTTGAGGTGACTTTTGCTCCTCTCAGCCACCTATGTGGGTACATAAGCATATATTCACATTTGCTCCCACCCAAGAAACAACTTTTATACCCAGCATCCCTCTAGGCAATGTAAGATTTAATGGGAATGTTATCCTAATCTCTCAAGTTCAAGCTAACTTCTTCCTGTATGGACTGAGAACAGCTTGGCAGGTACAATCCTCAGAGGCTCATGGAGGTAATTTAATCCCAATGTACTTTACAAGAAAACTACTGCAGTCTTCTCTGCTACTGAGCATTTTACGTTTTACTGACCTTCTGAAACAAGGAACTAGCTTTGACTGCAGTCACATTAGAAGGGATCCCGCGACTTCATATATACACACTCATTTTCTCTGGCTAAATCAGATTGGAATGTAAGAGCGTTCATCTGAAAACACCACAAAACACTCTCTTCACACCAGTTCTCTCTTTGGTGAAGACAACAACTGAGGAGTATCTTCAGCTAACATAAAACTGCAAAGCTCAAAGCACTTGTACTCCAGCTAAAGACCTGCACGCTACTAGACATGAACATCAAATTCTGCAATGCCCCACAGACACAAGTCATTGAATCTTTTCTTTGAAAGAAAGGATACACGGAAAGACAGTGAAATGGTCTGTAGAAAATGGATGCAAATCATCAAGATTTCCAAGGATTACTCGAATCGCTTCCTGGAGAGGCCAAAAAAAGGGAAGAATATTAAGAGTAGAGCCACAATTCCACCATCAAGTACAGTTTTGAGGCTTGGGAAAGATTTAAAATTACAGTTTGCACGAATCATGGAAGAGCAGGTTCTAGATATTTTGCTTTTCCTCCTCCTCTTCTTCACCCACTTTAAAGTGCACTGCACTGACAGGCTCATTGAAATGAGAGTGTGTGAATTTCTTAATCTTGAATTAACATTAACCATTACTACAGAGTGTGGAGGTGTATTTTTAAATTTAACAAGTTTTACATTTAAGTCTCATTTTTGCCAGCAAAACACATGTAGTATTGACCTGTTTCAAAAAATAAACATATTCCCCTTTTTCTGGCTATTGACCCAGTTCAATGAAAAGGAACTGTAATTCTGCCCCAACAAAACCCTGCTTCAAAGACAGGAAACTTTTTCTGGTAATACCTTTTCCTGGTAATACCTTTCAGTACTTTTCAAAAGTGGAAAAAAAAAACAAACAACCCAAACCCCAAACCATTAATTTCCCGTAACAGTCAAACCCAGCACTTTTTCTTCAATAATATTTATAATGCTGTTACTGTACTCTGAAGACTTTTTAAATGAAGTAACAGGAGCATTTTTAAGCAGGCAATAGAGTTGTCTCATTTCCTTGGGAATGGCAGGAGCTTCCTTCTGTCTCAGGAAGAAGATGACAATAACAGTTGCCACCAAGCTTGGCCACAAAGTAATGGCATCATTAAAAGAGCCACCACTGATTCTATTAGCTTCACAGCTAGGAGGAAAGCATGTGCAACTGAGCATTAAATCAGCCTCTGTCAAGCTAGCTCACCAGTACTGCCGCAGCTCCTGAAAAACAGGGGGATTGACACATAGTCAAGCCCGACAAGTTAAAAGCAGTGGTCAGGTCTGGGGCTGAGAGCAAAACCATGGGCAAGTGCTACTGCAGGATGAATCTCAACAGGAATCAGAAAGGAATGGGAGGCAACTCACTCGACAAATAGGTTTCATTTGTCCAACGCTAACAATCTAGCTTCTCTGAGATATTTCAAATAAAAACATTGTTTTCTATGCTCATGCTGCCTGCCAAGGACAGTTTTCATTTATATAAATTTTTTCACCCTTATACTCTCCAGAGAAGTTCCCCATCACTTTCAAGATGTTGCATCTGACAAAATGTCCTCAGTCCCATAACGAACAAAATATTTGCTCAGCTGAACTTTCAGCTCAGGTTCCATGAACCTGCTTCATGTCCTACCTCTAACTCCTTGACAGCACTTTCTGTGTTGTCGAAATCAGGAGCACTGTGAAACAAACAGAGAGAGTTAGTCCCACCCCAACCAAAAAGCAACAGAGCTATGTTTGTTGTAGAGCTTAAACAACAACAAAACATCGTTCCCATTGCACAGAGAAAATACTCAGTGGGCAGATGAATTCCTTCTCCATTATTCCACAAGGACTACTTCTTGTGAATTTTGTGCCCACTTGTATTTCGTGGGAGATCAGATCTTTCCAATCGATCCTCTGTAACATTTAGGGTTGTTTTTTGACAAGATGCCCTCAAACTAGCACCTCTGTCTTCCAGCCTATCATGATGCCCTTCTGTTCAAGGGACTACGAGAAGGAATTGGCAGGACATGCCTCTTAATCACCTCCTCGGTGCAAACCTGCAGAGGAACAGGCCTTCACAGCATTGGAGATAGGCCCTGTGATGCTGGGAGTTGTGTACTACCTGCATCAAACTGTGTTCCCAAGTATTAGCTACATCCTCTGTAAGACAGCTTCTCAGAAGTTGTTTGCTGCGAGGTGTTGGCCAACAATAAAATGCAGAAGGAGAGAGAAGGTCTTAAAGAAAATCCAAACACATTAGAAAGAAAAGAAATCACACAAATGTCACTTAGAAATAAGTAAATAAGTGAAGTGTGAGTAATTATGCCATGCAAGCATTCTCTGGTACATGGCTTAGTAAGCAGCCATTCTCATATCCTCCACAGTCAGGGTCGCCAGCCAGAGCTTGGTCAGAGATGAGTGCTTTCCTTCCTCTTCAGAAAGTCTCTCTCCTTGCCTGGTACGGCAGAAGTTAATGAAAGGAATTACACAGCACACCACAGCAGGACAGGTATTACCCACCCAGTGTCACCCACCCAAAACTTATGCTGTGGTCACAAAGTCTTCATGGATCAGCAG